CATGTCATTCAAGGCTGGGCTGCAGTCCATGGGAGAGCTGGCTCACCACCCACTCCCTCCTGGGAGACATCCCATCTTGTCTGCCGCACAGGGCAGGTGTGGCTTACCATGGTCTACACCCTTGGCAAACCCTGGCCTCCTACTGTTGCTTCCCTAACCCCAAACACTGCCAAAAGTGACACCACAAAGCTGCTCTTTCTGAAAAAGCAGGAGCACCTTTGACTGCTTGACTCACCTCCCCACCTCCTTGCTCCCCTAAGCCTGGTGATTCATCACCATGATTTAGATGTGTTCTGCCTCTGTGAGGATGACGTCTACGTGTTGTCTTCATGGGAAGGCCCTTATTACACCATTTGCCATTATAGGAAACCTGTCCGTATATTAAACTAAATGTTTTAAAGTGTTCTCATTGTTTATTTCTGTATAGTGTGAGGTGGTATTCTTAGTTCCTTTCCCCAAGTGGTAGCTACTTTTCCAAGAACATTTTACCAAACACCTCCTCCTCTCCCACTGACCTCCCATACCACCTCGGTTTTGTGTCAAACTTCCACACACAGAAAGACCCAGTCTTGCACTCAGTTCCACCGTCAGTTGTCCAGTACCAGCCAGCTCCTGTGCCAGCATCAGCACCACTGGGTTTTCACTACTATGGCATCATAATAAGACTTGGTATTTGAAGGGAAAATTTATGTCTTATTCTTATTGGATCTTAGCCTTCCACATGAATTATAACTTTCAAGACCAGTCTTTAGTGTACATTTAAAAACTATCCCAGACTTGTATATGTGTGTGTGTCGCTTGAAACAACACAAATTTATTCTTTGACAGTTCTGAGGTCAGGGGTCTGAAGTGAGTCTGATGGGGCTACAATCAACAATTGTGTTTGCAGGGCTGGTTCTTTTTGGAAGATAACCCACTCCTTGCTGCTTACAACTTCCAGAGGCTGCCACATGCCTTGGCCAATGACCATGTCACTCAACCTCTACTTCATGGTTACCCACTGCCTTCTCTTACAAGAATCCTCCTCCCTGGGACGCCTGGGTGGCTCAGTCGGTTGGGCGGCTGCCTTCAGCCCAGGTCATGGTGCCAGGGTCCTGGGATCGAGTCCCACATCGGGCTCCTTGCTCAGCGGGGAGCCTGCTTCTCCCTCTCTCTCCCTCTGCTTGTGCTCTGTCAAATAAATAAAATCTTAAAAAAAAAAAAAAGAATCCTCCTCCCTATCTTGTATAAAGACCCTTGTGTTTTCACACTGGGCCAATATGGATAATCCAAGAAAATCTCCCCCATCTCAATGCTTAATCACACCTGCAAAGTCCCCTTTACCATGAGAGGTACATTTTCACAGGACATGGGGATTAGGATGTTGACAACTTTGGGGACCCATTCCTGTCTGCCATGCCACTCAAGTAATTGCTATGTCATATTTTGACTAGATTCACATTAGTCATATAGATTGATTTAGAGACAGGTACATTTATTACATTAAGCCTTTATATCCATGAACATTAGATATTTCTCCATTCATTTGTCTTTAACATCTCAATAAACTTTTATAATTTTTCTGACCCTTTGTTAGATCATCCTAAATCCTTAAACATTCAGTTGTATGTAAACATTGTCATATTTTTAAGCATGTGTCCCAGATTTTATTGCTTATGTATACACATATGATGGCTTACATTTGATCTAAAATCTAGGAAACTTGCTAAATTCTCCTACTACTAGAATAATTTGTAAATTCTTCTGAATTATCCACATAGACAACCAGATCATTTGTATGACACATTGGTTCCAAACTCTTCCACTCTCAGCATTTGATTTTCTTAGTTTCATAATACAGGAATGTAATGAGGCAATAATATTCATATATATGTATAAAATTTACATTAATACAATAAAAAGACAAGCTCACTTCAAGAAAGTAGGAAAGCATTTAATAATGGGCATTAAAAATACATGATTAAAAACTACTAATGGGGTACCTGGGTGGTTCAGTCGGTTAAGTGGCAGCCTTCAGCTCGGGTCATGATCCCAGAGTGCTGGGATCAAGTCCCGGGTCAGGCTCCCTGCTCAGTGGAGAGCCTGCTTCTCCCTCTCCCTCTGCTGCCTCTCTACCTATTCTATCTCTCCATCAAAAAAATAAATAAAATCTTCTAAAAAAAATTACTAAGGCTAAAAGACAAAACTTCCCTAACTTTAAGAAGAGATGCTTTAAAAACTGACAACAGGGACTCCTGGGCGGCTCAGTCAGTGAAGCATCTGCCTTCGGCTTGGGTCATGACCCCAGGGTCCTGGGATCCTGTCCCGCATCGGGTTCTCTGCTTCTCCCCCTCCCTCCGCCTGTTGGGCTGCCTGCTTGTGCATGCTCGCTCTCTCAAATAATTTTTTTAAAAATTGACAACAAAGGCATGGAAAAATTACCATAAATGAAGAAAACCTAGGGTTATTCACTGTATAATCAGTAAGAGAGGTGTTATAACTATTCTGTATGACCCTGGGGAGAACCTAGGGTCAATCGCTATATAGTCTGGACTAGGAAAGGTTGCTTCATCGCTCTTGTTGACCTGTTCCATTAATATATGCTTCTAGCTCCTGGGTGAGCACTGTTCACTGTCTACCTCAGCCCTGACCATTTCCATGCATCCTGGTGCCCTCATGTACAGAAGTGAGAAAGTAAGCTCCTCAAGTGTCTCCATGAATAGCAGATGCGTGACAAAGCCCTGGTCCATGCTGCATGTTGCCATACATCCTTCACATCCTTTCCCGGTCCATAATTCATTTTCCTGGCTTGTTGTTCACACCTGATAGTTTCCTTGGGTTTTGATGAAAGAAGAGGGGGTGATCCTCTAGCTGCTCGCCCTAAGCTCTTCCTCCGGCAGTCTTAAAGTCAGAGTTTCCACAGGAGACTAGGCATGGGTGTCCTGGTGCTCACTTTATGGTCTTCCCCTGGAAGAGTTCAAGATGACATGCCATGTGCGAAGAGGACAGAACAAAGGTGTCTGGTGAGGCAGTTGCCGCCATGAGTGTGAGTGTTGTGACAGAAACGAGAGGGGAAAGCTAATGGTTCTGAAATGCTTTAGCTTTTAGGGGACAGCTTTCTCCAACAGGAGGCTGCATTGAAGTCTAAGTATGCAACACTCCACACTCTGGCCTGGAAGATGAGGACACACCTGCAGAGACTCACCTGGAACAAGGAAGGGCAGGCAGAAAAGGCAGCCCCGCCCCAGCCAGGGGTGCCCAGGAGTGCTGAGAGCAGCCCAGGACCACAAGTTTGTTAGATCAGGATGGTGTAAAGGAAGAGGGAATGTGGCCATGGGCACCCTGGCCTGATGGAGCATGGGTAGTTGGGGTTCCGTGGGTCCTCTCTTATCAGCTCTCCTTTGTCCTTTGGGGCTTCTGGCTCTGCAGGGCAGCGTTGGTGACCCCTGCAGCAGAGAAGCATTACCTCCGGGCTGTGAGCATTCTACGAGCAGAAGGAGGGCTAGGACCTGTCTCCAGGGCAGAGGGTCTGGGAGTGGCAAGCACCGCGGCTTGCCACACCTGCAGGAGTCAGCCGGACCCAGATCTTGGCTGTGTCTAGCATAGCCACCTGCACACCTGGGGACCAAGCTGTGACTACCAGAGACAGGCAAGCCCAGCTCTTTCGAGCTCAGACCAAACTACTTCTTTCTTCCCAGGGTGCTATACTTACAACTACAAATTGGAATGATGATCTGTCCTAAACTGCTCCAGGATAAATGAAAACATGCTATGTCTGTATGCTTCATTGATGTTGCTAGCCACACGGAATGGGTCAGGGTGCCTCTGGAGAGCTGTTGCCCGCCCACCTCTTGCACCCAACCCAACAGGGTGCAGGCGCCAGCCCTGTGGGCACATCCCACACCTGGTCACCATGCTCTTCCCTCCACCACGAACTGAAAGGCTCATCCCCTTCCTCAAGACCTTCTTCCAAGGCCACTTCCCCATCCACCACCCCCCCCGCCACCATGCTCTTGCCTTTTCAAATTGGGTAGCTTTCTCCTCCAAGTGCTCTTACCTTCTGCCAACTGCATGGAAGGTCCAAGGGGCAGGGCTCCAGCCTGGGGTCTGGGGCGAGCTGAGGAGGAGTTCAGGGTGTTAGACCCCCTGAAGGAAGGGCACTGATGTGAAGGGCCTTGAAGGGCAGTGGTCCTAAAGGACAATGAACGGGATGAAGATTTCCAGAGATCAGATGCAAGAGAACAGTGTTCACTGAATGGTAATTATCACTGAGATACTGACAGATTCCTTGGAAGCTTAGGAGATGAGAGGCCCCACATGAGGGTTTTGCATGTGGCCTTGTGCCCCCAGGACTCTGGTTCCTTCACACAAGTGAACAGAGTCTGTACCAGCAGCCCCGGGCACCACATGAGAATGGAGACATGCAGCTGAAAACAAGAATGGGGAACTATGCACATTTCCCCAAGCCTTCTAGATGAGGCCACCAGCATTGCAGAATGGTAGCATGGACGTCCCTCCTGGTCTGACAGGGGAACCAGGGAAGCCGTGAAAGAAGAAACACCAACCAAAATCACATCAGGGTGGAGTAAGGGTAACACAGACCCGTGTTACACATGCAGTGCATCACCCTGGCATTTCTCATAGAAATCCTTAAAAATAAGAGTTTATGGATGCATAATACTCATGATGAATAGATATTTACATGCTCCAGCCACAAATCACATTTCTTCCCAGATGCATTCCCCATGAAACAACTAAGCCACTGTGCAACCCAGTATTGAAATTACTGGACAGAAGAATATAACTTGAGGAACTGACAAAGGATGGTTTAAAGCTGTCCCTTCTTGATAATTTAAATATATAGGTCAACCCTAAAGAATCAGTGTGATTTAGCTAACCTGACCAAGACAAAAACTCAGGAAAGAAAGTGGAGCCATCACTAGGAACCCTAACGAAATAAAAAGGGGCATGAAGAAAACCAAGAGCAGCTAGACCAAAGGTACACCATCCACCTGTCCACCATGGAGGTGAGGAAGAGTATGTCTGGGACACAGGAGGCTTCTCAGGGTGTCTCCAGCACTACCATGCCCTGTGATTACATTAATAGAAAACAAACAACACAACTCAGGCAGGACCAATGGAAGGTCCTGCAGGAAGGAAGACTTGGGTCACCACACCAGGTCAAGAGCCACAGGTGCTTGCTGAGGGCAAAGGGAATAGGGACTGAGGAGGGGACAGAGCACTCCAGATACCAGCAAGGACCACATGGCCATTTGCAGAAACTGTAACTGTTATGAGTAATTTTTCCTCAGTTTGTTAAGGATGTGTGTGTGTGTGTGTGTGTGTTTATAGGGCGTCAAGGAGAAGAGTGAGTGTGTGTGTGTGTGTGTTTATAGGGTGTCAAGGAGAAGAGTGAGAGAGTGTGTGTGTGTGTGTGTGTGTGTGTGTTTTTAGGGCGTCAAGGAGAAGAGTGAGCATCACCCATGGACTTTTCATCCCGTCCTGGGAAAAGGTTAGTTCATTTTCAGTTATACTCAGGATGGTTCTATCACCTTAATGGAAATACGACTTCATTATTGTCTTTATTTGAAAATTAACTATGGATTAAAGAGATGTGTATGGGTGCTGAATTGACAAGGAATGGATTGCCACGGTGAATTTTATGTGTCAGCTGGGCTAGGCTATGGTGTCCAATTGTTTGCTCAGATGCTCTCTAGACGTTGCTGTAAAGGTATTTTGTAAATGTGTCAATATTTACAGTGTATTTTAACTAAAGGAGATTACTTAATAAATATACGTGAGTGGGCATCATCTGGCCACTTGATGGCCTTCACAACAAAACTTTGAGGTATCCTGGACAAGTTCTGCTTTAAAACTGCCACATACATGGGGCGCCTGCCTGGGTGGCTCAGATGGTTAAGCGTCTGCCTTCGGCTCAGGTCATGATCTCCGGGTACTGGGTTCGAGCCCCACATCTGGCTTCCTGCTCAGCGGGAAGTCTGCTTCTCTCTCTCTCTCCCTCTGACCCTTCCCACTGCTTGTTCTCTCCCTCTCAAATAAATAAATAAAATCCTAAAAAAAAAAAAAAAAAAAAGACTGCCACATACAAATCCTGCCTGCGTTTCCAGCCGGCCCACTTGCCCTGCTGATGGCAGACCCAAGATGCAATGTTGAAATCCTGTTGAATTTCCAACCTGCCCACCTGCCCTGCAGATTGCAGACTAAGACCTTAAGTTTGACACTTGCTCGAGTCTCCAGGCTTTCAAATTTGCCAGACCCCAGTCCTGGTCCCAAATCCGTGTTAGTTTCCTGGGGTTGACATAACAAAGTAGCACACATCTGACTTAAAACAATAGAAATTTGTTCTCTCACAGTTCTGGAGCCCAGAAGTCCAAAATCAAGGTGTCAGCAGGGCTCATTGTGTCTGAGGGTTCTGAGGGAGTGTATCTCCATATCCTAGTTTCTCGTGGCTGCTGGAAATCTTTGGTATCCCTTCGCTTGGAGATGCATCACTCCCTCCAATCTCTGCCTCCACAGATTGTGTCTCTGTGCATCTTCGCGTGGCCATCTTTTCTCTCTTCTGCTCATAAGACACTGAGTTTGACCTCATTTTAACTTTAATTACATCTGCAATGACCCTATTTCCAAATAAAGTCACATTCCGAGGTACTGGGAATAGGACTTCAACATATCTGTTGGGGGGACACAATTCAAACCATAACAGACGGTAGTACTCTCCAAGTTGATCTACAGATTCATTGCAGTCCTTATCAAAATTCCAGCTGGGTTTCCTTAGAAATTTACAAGCTGACCTTAAGATTCATATGAAAAAGGGCTCAGAATAGACAAAACAACCTTGGAAAAGAAAAACAAAGTTGGAGGGTTTAATTTTGTGATGACAAACTTACTACAAAACTACTGTAATTGAAACAGTGTGGAACTTGGATTTCTATTCTTATAGAAATATACATCAATAGAACAGAATCACGGGCCCAGAAATAAACCTTACATTTATGGCCAATCACCTTTTGACAGGGTTCCAAGACAATCAATAGGAAAAAAAAATTAGTCTTTTCAACAAATGGTGCTGAGACAAGTGTACATCCACATGCAAAAGAATGAATCCGGACCCCCACCTCACACCATCCTGAAATTTAATTCAAAACGATTATAGGCCTATATATAAGAGCAAAAATTGTAAAACGCTTAGAAGAAAACGTAGGAGTAACGCTTCATGACCTTGGATTAAGCAATGATTTCTTAGATATGACACTAAAAGTACAAATCTCAAAAGAAAATAGATAAATTGGACTTCTTTAAAGTTAAAAATTTTGTGTCATAGAACACACTCAAAAAGGTGAAAAGACAGTCTAACCACTGTGAGAAAGTATTTGCAAATCATAGATCTGATGATACCTGTATCAGAAATAGAGAGCTGTTATAACTCAGTAACTAAAAAAGAATCACTGTGAAACTATCACAAATGGAAGAAAATTCAGTAAAGTAGCATACAAAGAGACAATGGACTTCACAAATAAAACAGTAGCTAGTTAGAAGCTACCAATATCAGTAACAGAAGGGGTTGTTACTACAGGCATTGAAATGATTCAGGGAATATTTTCTAACAACTTTACGGCCATAAATTCAACAACTCAAGTGAAATGGACAATTTCTTTGAAAGGTACAAAATACCTAAACTCCCTCAAAAAGAAACCAATAGCCTAAACAGTCCCATAAGTATTACAGAGCTTATATTCATAGTTTAAAACCCTCAGAACAGAAATTTTGAGGACCAGTTGGTTTTACTGGCCATCACATGGGTGGAACTCAAATGCATTGTGCTAAGTACAGGACTGTATATATGACATTCTGGGAAAGACAAACGATGTGGATAGAAATCTAGATTCGTGGGTGCCTGGGTGGCTCAGTTGGTTAAGTGAATGCCTTCGGCTCAGGTCATGAGCCTGGAGTCCCGGGATCGAGTCCCGCATCGGGCTCCCTGCTCGGCAGGGAGTCTGCTTCTCCCTCTGACCCTCCTCCCTCTCATGCTCTCTGTCTCTCATTCTCTCTCTCGCAAATAAATAAAATCTTAAAAAAAAAAAAAAAAGAAGAAAGAGGCAAACCAAAAAACCGACTCTTAGCTATAGAGAACGAACTGATGGTTCCCAGAGGGGAGGTGGGTGGGTGGATGGTATAAGGAGGTGGTGGGTATTAAGGAGTGTACTTGTTGTGATGAGCACCAGGTGTTGTATGGAAGTGTTGAATCACTATATTGTTCACCTGAAACTAATATTACATTGTATGTTAACTAACTGGAATTCAAATAAAAAAAATTTTTTTTAAGTCCCTTTAACTTTTCTTGGAAGGCTGGTGTAGTAGGGATGAACCCGTTTAACTTTTGTTTGTCTGGGAAAATCTTTATCTCTCTACCAATTCTGAGTGATAACCTTGCCAGGTAAAATATTCGTCACTGTAGGTTTTTTCCCTTTCAGCTTTTTAAATATATCATGCCACTGGGGCGCCTGGGTGGCTCAGTTGGTTAAGCGACTGCCTTCAGCTCAGGTCATGGTCCTGGAGTCCTGGGATCGAGTCCCGCATTGGGCTCCCTGCTCAGCGGGGAGTCTGCTTCTCCCTCTCCCGCTCCCCCCTCTTGTGCTCTCTCTCTCTTTCTCTCTCTCAAATAAATAAATAAAATCTTTAAAAAAAAAAAAGAAATCTAGATTCGTTATTTCAAGGGATTATGGGCAGAAGGACTCTAAAGGGGCTCAAAGGAACTGGGAAGGCAGTGGAACTCTTCTATAGCTTGACTGTGGTGGTCACATGACTGCAAGCACTTGTCAAAACTTGCATGATTGGATAAATTTTACTGTATATAAGTGATACCCTAATAAGAAAGGTTTTGATCAGGTGGATGGCAGATATGTAAGTAGTAACTGACCTAAGAGAATTGAGCAGGCCATTGAGAAAGTGGAAAACATCCTGAATCCTCTACAAGAACCGGTGTGTCTAGATATGACTGTGGGAGGGAATGGTAAACCCAGGAATGTTGGGCAGAAACTGAGAAGCGGTCATATCCCTAAGTCTTCCCCCAACTCCGTATCTCTGGGCTAATGGACCCCACTGACTCTTGCAGAAATCTGGAGTTCTGTTTTCTTTGAGAGTAACACAGGCAATCCATAATTGAGGGCCCTGGATGCCAAAATTAGGTTAGGAGACGGTATATATACTTAATGCACAATGTTCAGACACAACAACCTTCTACCTGAGCTTCCAGAACCTGCAGCAAGATCCCTGCTATTCAGGAAGGGGTTTGGGGTCATGTGGATGCTTAGAGGGATGTCCTGAAGGTAGGGACATCAGTAGCTCCTCATGATCCACCCAGCACTGCCCACACCCCAGAGCTTCCAATCACTTTTCATTCCAGCAGTCTTAATTTCAAAGGCAAGACAAAGGAATAGCAGACATCGAAGGAAAGCCTCTAACACGGAAATTAAACACCCAATCAATCAAGTGGAAATAGCAGTTTGGAAGAAATTAACTCAGCTGGGAGAAGTTCCTTCAGGTTGAGACAAGGATGATGAATACGTTCCATTTTGTTCCTCCAGAAGATTGTGAAGGGTAGATACTAGACAAGGGCCACAGGATTTGAAGAACAACCCAATAGGGAGTTCCCCAGGCTTTTCTCTCCTCCCATGTGTCCAGCTTGGGTGTAGAAGCTGAAACGCCAACACACACACACACACACACACTCAAGTGCACGCACATGTGCACGCAATAGCCCCAACTGAAGCCACAGAAAAGGGTGGCCCAACATGATGGAAACCTAACCACCCTGCTTATTCTCAAGGCAAACATGAGAAAATCCGCACCCTTCTGTCCCCCAACAGGCGCTGCAGAAGCTGAGTGCATCCGGGGAAGGCCAACTTTCAGCCCCTTTCCTCACCATAAGGTGGTCCCTGTGCAGCCAAGTTACCTTGACCTCAGCATTACTGACATTCGGGTCTGGACAATTCTTTGTTCTTGGAAA